TAATAATAATAATAATAACTGATTCTACTCTAAATAACCAAAGCATTTGCGCAAGGGTTGAAGATTAATATGTCAAATTTATATTGTATTTTATTTTCATTTTTATTTTTTTTGGGGTGTGATACATGCGTGGGCACTCACCAAATTCAGTGTGGGTAAAGGAGAAAACATCTATCTATATACATGTCTGGACCATAGGGTATTTCAATTCCTCCTATATATGCAGCTGAAAATGTTTAAAAACAAAATAGGGCAACCCTTCATTGAGATCATATCGTATAGTTAACTATATAACGCATATAGTTTATACAAAAGTTATAAAATAATTAAATTGAAAATGAGTAATGTGATACAGCTAGAAAACATATATCTGTCGTAGTACGCTACAATATTAATGGTAAAGGCAGAAAGAGAATAAAAGTTCCACGGTTTTGAGAAGGGCTTGTTTTTGTACTATAAAGCCTCAGCCCTCAATTGAGGTTTTAATTTTAAAACGCAGAAGTATTCATCCAGCTTGCATGCAATATTGATTATTAGTGCTAGGGAAAGAAAACAAACAAACAAAGCTTTTGAAGAAAACTTTAATTGGAATCAAATTAAAAGGAAGAACAGCACTTTTATCCCATTAATCATACCTACTTCCATACATACATAAATAGAAAATGATTGATATATCATCCAATTAAACAAACTTTTTAATTACACTCATCTAATTTAGTTAAGGGGTTAATACTTATCCATCTTACCTTTAAAAAACTAAGAGCAAAAATGATAAAAAAAATACCTTAATTCATTTTTTTTTTAACTACAAAATGAACTTTTGATATCATATTGAGTACAAGGGGTACTCTAACCCGTTGAAAGATTACAAAAGACCATCAAGATGTAAGAATCCTATCATTTGGATCCTTCAGACACTACATTCTCTTTCTGCCATATTTAATTTGAAGACATGCAACAAGGTTAATAACCCAATCTGAGAAATTAAAGACACCTAGTATTTCTTGTTCTGATCCAGAAGTAAGATCTCAGTTGGATAGTTTCTAGCAGCTTCCCTGTATTAATCTTTGAGTCATGAAAAATCTTTTTGTTTCTTGCGAACCACATGGACCAAACCAGTGTATTCCATATGCAATCTCAACCTTGTCTGATCTGTGAGTCCTTAATGTGTGTCTCAAAATGCTCAAAAGTTTTCCAACAGTCATTTTCCAACACCACATTGATACCCCACCATTTAGCACATTCCTCCCATAGCCATCTAACTACCTTACATTTCAGGAACAGATGGGCAACATCCTCATCCTTTTCCTTGCACATTGTACATACTTTTTCTCCCAAGTTCTTGACAATCCCTCTTTTTATCAAATTAAGCTTAGTTGGAATTCTGTCTAACAATAATTGCCAATTGAATGTAGAGATTTTACTTGGGAGAATGGGGTTCCATATTCTTTTGAAAGTCTCACTTTCATATGGTACGCGTTGCTCTTTTGTTAAGAGTGAGTACGTTGCTTTGGTTGAGTAATGGCCATCCTAGGTATGTATCCACTCCCATTTGTCAAGGCTTCCAAAAGAAATCTTCACTTCTTCTAACATATTTTTAAGTTCCCTTGCTTCTTCATCTTCCCAATTAAACAACCTTCTTCTCCATGTAAGGTTCCAATGTCATTCTCCCTTTTCATCATTGCCCATTTGGTAGCATTTCTTCTCCTTTCCTGTTGATGATAAGTACAATCTAGGAAACTTGTTAGCAAGACACACCCCCCCACACTAATTATCCCACCAAAAATTCACATTGTCCCCCTTCCCAACCTTTATCATAAACCCCTTAGATAGCCACCGTACATTCTCCCCTTCCCCTATGTCAATCCCACATACATCCCTCCACCATAATGAACCCGCTTCTCTGCTCTCTCTAATCCAATCAAGCCAATGACCCCCTACCTCTCCATATTTTCCTTTAATTACTTTCTTCCACAATCCCTCTTCATTTGATGCTAACCTTCCCCACCACTTTCCCATCAAAGCCAAGTTAAACTTCCTCAAGTCCTTCACTCCCAGTCCTTCATACTCTTTTTGTCTACATACCTCCTCCTAGCTTACCCAATTAATATTTTTCTTCTCTCCCTCTCCCCCTGTAAGAAACTTCTATGAATTTTATTAATAGAGTAGAGTATACCTTTAGGAATTAGGTAGGTAGACATCATAAACACAAGTAGGCTGGACAACACTAAATTAATGAGCGTGATACGACCTCCCAAGGAAAGGTGTCGGTTCTTTCAGCTAGCCAACTTCTTTTTAAAAGATTCCACCAATGGTTGCCACATTGCCATCCTTCTTTGATTCCCGCCAATAGGGATTCCTAGATATTTGAATGGTAAATCCCCCTCTTTACAGCATAGTCTGCAAGCCATTTTATCCCTCCAACCTTCCTCGGTTCCAATGGCCATAAGCTGGCTCTTTCCGAAGTTGATTTTTAGCCCTTAAACCAGCTCAAAAGTCCTCATCATGTAGTTACAGTCCTTATATTGTCTTCAGATGCCTCTTCAAATAAGATGATATCATCTGCGAATTGTAGATGGGTAATCATAACTCTGTTATTACCCACCGTTACTCCTTTATACAATTCTTTCTCAACTGTGAAAGACATTAGCCCATTCAATCCTTCAACCACAATGAGAAATAAGAAAGGCGATAATGGGTCACCTTGTCGAATTCCTTTGCTGACATTAAATTGTCTTGTTGGGCTTCTGTTGACAAGAACAGAAATCATGCTTGATCGAAGACATTCCTATATCCACTTTCTCCAAGTTGCACTGAACCCCATCCTCCTCTGCATATAGTCAATAAATTCCCAACTCACCTTGTCATATGCTTTCTCAAAGTCAACTTTGAAAAGAAAGCACTTCTTCTTCTTTCTCTTGGCCTCATCGATCACCTCATTTGCAATTACAACTCCATCCACCAGTTGTCTGCCCCCTATGAAAGCCATCTGTTGTTCCCCCATAACTTTGTCTAGCACTTTTCTAAGGCGGTTTGCTAGTAACTTTGCAATCACCTTGTACATAACACCTTTCAACGAGATAGGTCTATATTCCTTGATTTTCTAGGGATTTTCAACTTTTGGAATTAAAACAATGAAAGAAGCATTGATCCCTTTAACAAGTCTCCCATGTTTATGGAATTCCTCGACAAACTCAACCACATCAGCTTTTATATCTTCCCACATCTCCTTCATGAATCTGAAGTTAAATCCGTCTGGGCTTGGAGATTTTGATGAGTCACAGTCCCACATTGCTTCTTTAATCTCTTCGTCGATAAATATGTTCATGAGGAGCTCATTATCTGTTTGGGATAGCTGCTTGAAGTTTATGCCCTCTAACTTTGGTCTTTGCCATTTCTCTTCTATAAACAAGCCTTGAAAACACCTTAATTCATACTTTAAAAATATGATATTTTAGTCTTTTTTAATAGGTATTTATTAAAATGACGTAATTTTGGAATAATATTTTTCCTAATGTTTAGGTAGTAAGACGGATAAGCACTATTTCATTTAGTTAATAAATATAATATAATTGATTCTTATATTCTATTTGCATGTTTTCATCTTTAAATTTATTTGTTTTCAATTTTAAATTAAAAAAATAATTTTTTAATAAATATATTATATAGTGAATTAAACCAAAGAATATACTAATTAGTATTCTACATGAATGTATCTTTCTGAGTTGATTTGTAATAAGAATATTGGGAAAAAATTGCCCTTGAATCAACTTTTGCCCATTCTTATATATTACTAGTATTCTAAAATGAAGAAGGGAATTGCAACAAATCTCACATTATATATATATATAGATATATCTTTGTATATTTGATAATAATGGAGTATATAAGAGGGAAAAATTCTCCCATTTCTTTAAATCCATCTAACTCAATGTTTGAACTTGAAGTCTCTAATTTAAAATTCCAAATTCTTAATCATTGAACCATCCCTTAGATTATCTCACATTATTTATTTCATTTGCATATACAAATTAAAACCAAACATTTTTTTTATTTTTATCATGATGATCAATAACTATATATATATGTATCTCCAAAATTGTTTTAGTGCTAGTAGTACCTGGTAAATTTTGCGTACTTTACCTAGGCTGCCTAGGTAAGACTAAATTAATGTACATGTTACTTTGGTTAAATTAATCTCGCAAATTAGGACCAACTAATGGTGGTTAGTACAAAATTTGTGATTTTTTTTTTTTTTATCTTGGTTGCCTCTTGGTTGCACAATGAAGGCAATCATCTCTCATCCCTTATCTCACTACACTCACATGTTATGTGACTTGAATTTATAATCTCTTACTTTTAACGAAAATAAATAACTACTAAATTACTTAAGTTATTGACAGATTTTGTGATTTTAATTATGCTAATGTCGAGTGTAAATTAACAACTTAAATAATTTAATAACTTTTTATACGTAAAAAAAATATTTTTTTTTAATTACATAATATTTGAGAATGATTTAAATTATTAAAAAATAAAAAATAATTACCTCCCATTCCCGTATCACACAGCAACGGTCTAAACCAACTTGAATTGAATGCTACCATGAAACATGGTGATCGAATAAATTCGACTACAGAGAAGAATGCGTGCATTGCTGCAGTACCATCAGAAAAAAAAACAAGAGTGCAAAAGCAATGCTCTTTATTTGCGTAAACTTCAACTACAGACAAAAGTAATGGACCATATTGAACTCCCTACATGTGCCTTCGTCTTTGCCGTGGTCGCCTTTGAATTTGGTCGGATTCCAAATACTACCCCAACAACTGCCCCCCCTATATAAATTGGACCTCAGGACCTCAAACTCCCCACAACACTCAGCCCACTTTGAGAAATCGAGCCAACGACACCACAGGGCTTCTGTATTCTTCACATAATTAGTAATCATGGGATTTGGGGTTAACAACAGGCAGAAGAAGCCCTCCTTCTCTCTGGCCAGTCTTTTCAAGCCCCGACGAGTTCATAGAGTGGAGGATTCCTGGGCGGAGGAGCCGGTGAGTGGCCGAAGAATGTGGCCTAGCGATGAAGACAAACGTTATCAGTGGGTGGCGGAGCCTGGAATTGATAGGAAAGCTTCAGTCTTCATTGCCAATTTCCATGCAACTCGCATCTCCGAATCACTCAGTTGTCAGGCTCCTGAAAACGCCTCAACTTAATCTCATCATCATTTCATTCATTTCTGCAGTCACCTTGCATGCTCTCTCATCACTCTCTAGCCACTATTTCTCTATACTACTTACGTTGTATTAGTAGTAATTTAATTCTAAAGTTGTTTATATTGAATAATGTTGTGAAATACTGTAACAAATATCAAATCAATAAATATTTGTAGAGATTATTTTGTTTAATTATAGATATCTTCTACATTAATTTTTTTTCCCTTTATACAATCAAGAACATAATGTTTTTATAGATGATTGATTGGGTTTATATTAATGCCTTCAAGAAAAAACAGTTACTAGCTAGCTAGCTGGTATCATGGGACAGCAGATTGTCCATCTAGCTCTTTAATTAATTTCTGCCTCTAAATATTGGACGCTAAAACTAATGC